TGGTCAAGTCTTCACACCCTCACTGCCTAGCCCAGGGGACATGGGCCTGGAGTGGGTGAGCAGGGTGGGGGACTCACATCTGTGATGGCCTTCTTGGCCTTCTCCTCGGCATTCCTGCACTCCTGCACTGCCTCCTCCACTTCAGTCTGGAGCTGGGAGAGGTCTGCATCCATCTTCTTTTTCTGGTTGATGAGGCTGGTGTTCTGGGGTGGGTGGGGGACAGAGCAGGAAAGGCATTGAGCATCCCTGTGTGGCTCCTGACCTTACCAGCTGAGTCCTGCAGCCCCTGCTCTATCCAGGAATGCACAGGGGTGCTGTCTACCTGGGAGTGCAGCAGCTGCACCCGCTCGCTGGTCTCAATCAGTTCCTGCTCAGCCAGCTTCCGTGACCGCTCAGTCTGCTCCACCACGGCCCGAAGCTCCTCCAGCTCAGCCTGGAGCAGATTGTTGCGCCTCTCCACGATGGCGATGTTCTCCTTCAGGTCATCATTGGCGCGGACTGCGTCATCCAGCTGGATCTGGGTGTCCTGAGGGTTAGAAGAATAAGCATGAGATTGAGAGATGTCCTCAGTGTCTTCACAAGGCCCTTACGAGCAGTAGCTTAGCAGGGACCTGATAAAGGTCTCTGCAATGACCGAGGGCAGGAGGGGGCTGGTGTCCCCTTAAAAAGGACCCATGGAAGCCAATCCCCTTTCTGGATGAGGTGACCTCCTACTTCCAAGAGTCTCTGTGTACCTTCAACAAGCTCTGGAGGCTCTTGACTTGCTTCTGAGCTTCAGCAGCCATGCGGTTGGCATGGCTGAGCTGGATCTCCATCTCATTGAGGTCGCCCTCCATCTTTTTCTTCACCCGCAGGGCCTCATTGCGGCTGCGTGTCTCTGCATCCAGGGAGGTCTGCAGCGAGTCCACCATCCGCAGGTGGTTGCGCTTGGCCTGCTCCATCTCCTCGTCCTTCTCTGCCAGCTTCCGCTCAATCTCTGCCTTGATCTGGTTGAACTCCAGCTGGGCTCGAAGGATCTTGCCCTCCTCATGCTCCAGGGAGGCCTAGAAGGAGGGTGGGGAGAGGGGTCTGAGGCTGACAGTCAGGGCCCAGGTGGACAGGGAGGGAGGACCAGAGGATGACAGGAATCACCAGGACTGTGGCCTGAAGAAGAGATGGGGAGGTGGGCCCTGCACCCAAGATCCTGTTGGGGAGGAAGTGCTGGACTTCCTGGGCTTCCTGACTCATGGGTCTTCCTCTGTGAAGGGAGGAGTTTGAACCTGTCGGATGCCAGACCCCTGACACTAACATGGCAGGGATTCTTGACCCACTTTAAGATCACAGAAAAAAAGAGGGATTTCTAAAATGTAAAACTCTCTTTGTTTACTAGGTCCCTCTCCTTCAGTGAGAAAAAATTGGAAGTCCCAAACTCAGGGCTGTTCCCAGTGCCTTAAAAATGCATAGAAACAATAGCTAATGTAAATTAAGTGCTTGAGCAGATCACATCAGTTAATCTTCATAATAATCATACACACAATCTTGGAGGTATGTTATATTAATGTCATCTAACAGAAAAGGACACTGACACACAGAGAGGTTAAGGACCTTGTCCAATGACACAGAGGAAACTTGGTCCTCAAGCCATTTTAAACTCAGGTCCCCACTGTCTGAGTGGTTATTATGAGGCCAGATTCAAACTTTAAAAAACCTTCTGCCTAAAATTAAGACTGACATTTCCCTTTGTTCAGACCTTGGCATTGGAGGTAGCCATGAGTAGTGGGGCAGTAGATAGCCTTTCACTAATATGTTTTGTCCTGGGGTCAAGGTCACTCCAGGATGAGGGTGAGGTGAAAGACAGCAGGACAGGCTGGGGGGCAGTGCTTGGAAGGCCACCTCACCTCAGCCTCCTCCAGGGCTGACTGCAGCTCCAGCTTCTCCACCTCCAGCTGCTTGCGGACCTTCTCCAGCTCGTGCACATTCTTTCCTCCTTCTCCCAGCTGCTCAGTCAGGTCCGAGATTTCCTCTGGGGGTTAGAGGGCCAGAAAGCTCAAAATCTGGCTCACCCTGACCCACATGACCCTTCCTGCCCCTGTAGTTCCTCCCTGCCTTGGGGATGCTCACCCTGCAGGTTCTTGTTCTCCCTCTTGAAGGTCTCCAGGTGCTCCAGCGACTCCTCATAGGCGTTCTTGAGCTTGAAGAGCTCAGTGCTGAGGGAACGAGCCTCCTTCTGCGAAGACTCCAGCTCGGACTGTGACTCCTCATACTTCTGCTTCCACTCGGCCAGGATCTGCAAGGGACAAGGCTCACTGTGCAGCCTCCACATCCAGTCCCATGTCCAGGTGCTTCAGGCCCCTTGCCTGGGCTCAGCCTTCCTCCCCTGCCTCTGAGGAGGTGGGCTCTGGCCTTGCACTGGTACCATGCCTGTGGCCCTCCAGACCTGCACACTGGCTGTGGCCCCACCCATGACCCACCTTGTCAAAGTTCCTCTGTTTCTTGTCCAGGGCCGCGGCGGCAGCGTTAGAGCGCTCCACGTCCACCATCAGGTCCTCGATCTCGTTCTGCAGCCGGTGCTTGGTCTTCTCCAGGGAAGAGCACTTGGCGTTGACGGCCTCCACGGCCTCCTCTGCATCCTGTAGCCTCTGGGCCAGCTTCTTCCTGCCCGGGGAATATGTGTGTGTGTGACTCTACATGGGAACGATGGGGATCAGTGTTGACTCTCTCGTACTGGTACTGCAGATGAGGAAGACCCACACCCTTCCACAGCTCCCTGGGACACTGGAACCCCAGCCTAGAGGAGCCAAGACTGCTGGTGCCTAGAACAGTTCATCAGCATAGGCTGCGCAACTTCTTCCCAGTCCCTCATCAGGCTGATTGACGATCGCTCCTCTGACCAACAAGCTTTTTGCTCGTCTTATACATGAGCATTAGGTATAACCCGGGCCAAAAGCTCGCCTGTCACAGGAAGTGGGTTAGGGCCAGCCAGGGCTCACAGACTGCAGAATCCAGGCTTCCTTTCAAGCACTTCTATTGCCCGCCAGGTTTCACCCATCCCCTGTCACTCCCACCCCAAACCACTTACTTATATCCACTCTGCCTGTCTCCACCCCAGGTTCTCTGTTCCTCTCTGAGAATCAGGGTGGAGGCATTCAGCACTCACTTGGCCTCCTCCAGCTCCTCTGTTCTCTGGATGGCATCTGTCTCATACTTGGTCCTCCACTGGGCCACCTCTGAGTTGGCCTTGGACAGGACACGCTGTAGTTCGGCCTTGGCCTCCATCTCCTCTTCATACTGCTCCCGCAGCAGGTCACAGTCATGCCGGGCCGACTGCAGTGCGTGGGCCAGGGCGTTCTTGGCCTGGGGAGAGGTGGACACCAGAGGTAGAGGGAATCCCTTCAATTGAGCCTCAGCCTCATCCAGCATGAGCACTGAGGTGGAATCTCAGTCTTTGAGTGGCTTCCCAGTTTGCCCACTGCATGCCTTTAGCAACAAGGAAAGAAGCACTGATGGGGTGTTGCTTAGCTAGAAGGTAGGACAATCTGGACTAGAGTGTTCTTCATTATGGAGGTGTCTCTCCAGCCTCCAGGCCCAATTCTTCCCTCTCTCCTTTCCTTCCTTCCTTTTTTTTAAACTGGTGAATGAATCATACTAGGTAAGCACACTACCACTGAGCTATATCCCCGGTTCTTTTTATTTTAAGAGGAGCTCACTAAGTTGCCTAGGCTGACCTCAAGCTTGTGTTCTACCTGCCCCAGCCACCCAAGTAGCTGGGATTATAGGTGTGTACTTTTGTGCCAGTCTCTCCAGACCTAGTTCTGGAGTTGAGGTTTAATGTTCAGGGCCACCATCAAGCCTGTCCCACTTCCCCTAGCTGGGCCTCACCTTGCCTTCCTCCTCTAACTGCCTCTTGAGGTCTTCCATCTGCTGGGTGTAGGAGAGCTTCCCCCGTGTCAGTTGGGAGATCAGAGCCTCCTTTTCCTCTAGTTGCCGGGCTAACTCTCCTGGAGGCAGAATGAGGGGTTTGTGGGCCGTGAAAGAGGGAAACCAATGCCCTATGCAGGACAGGAGTGGGGATGGTCAGGGGCACCCACCATTCTCGGTCTGCAGCTTGGCTCGCTGTGTAGTGAAGTCATTGAGGGAGCGCTGGGCCTCTTCCAGCTTCATGCGGTACTCATTGGCCTGGTCCTCCAGTGTCCGAGACACTTTCTCCAGGTTTGCCTTCAGGCAGTAATGGACACAGAGAAGGTGAATGCGGGAAGGGCCAGGGTTGGCAGGGAGAAGGGACTGGGTCAACCAGACTTCAGGAAAGAAGAGAGGGCGAAGGTGGGAAGAGCACAGAGGGCAGGAGGGAGACAGAAGCAGTGTGGAAAGGGATCAGTCTGAAGAGGGGGCATGAATTAAAGAAAGGAGGAGGTGAGGGCCAGGGAGGAGCAGGATAGAGAGGATCTGAAGATCAAGGAAGATGAAGGGAGTGAGAAGGACAAGAGAGAGGGCACGTAGAGAGAACATGGGAGGAAGCCACAGTTTCCGAGAGAAGAGGGAGAGGAGAAGTGGAGCTGGGCTCACCTTGGCCTTGATGATCTGCTCCATGTTGGAGGTGACATCGTCCAGCTCCAGCTTGAACTCGCTCTTCTCCTTCTCCAGCTTCTGCTTCACCCGCTGCAGGTTGTCGATCTGCTCACCCAGCTCGGCCACACTGTCAGCGTGCTTCTTGCGCAGGGCTGCGGCTGTGGCCTCGTGCTGCAGCGTGGCCTCCTCCAGGTCCCTCCTCATCTTCTGGAACTCGGCCTCTCGCTTCTTGTTCATCTCGATCTGCACAGATGTGGCCCCTCCGGCCTCCTCCAGCCTCTCACTGATCTCCTCCAGCTCTCGGGACAGGTCTGAGCGCAGCTTCTCCACTTTGGCCCTGGCCGTGCGCTCAGCCTCCAGCTCCTCCTCCAGCTCCTCAATGCGTGCCTGGGCCCAGATGAGAAGGGCTCAGACCAGCTGGTCAGACTCTTCCACTGGACCCCACCAAGACTCTAAAATACTCCCAAATACTTTGGTCCCTCTTGAGCAGTGGTTCTTAACACGGGCAATTTTGCACCCCTATAGGACAGTTGGCAATGTCTGGAGGCATTTTTAATTGTTATGATATAATGGGAGATGCTACCAGTGTCTAGTGGGTAGAGGCCAGGGATAAGGCTAAGCACCATATAATGCACTGGCCATCAATAAGAATTTAGTTGAAGTGAAACCTTCAAGGCATTTCTTGAGGGCTTCTCAGACTCCATCTGGGCATCTGCAGCTTTCAACTCTCAGAGCTGGTGTTCTGAGGAGTACCATGAGATCCCATGAAATCAGGAATTTCAGAGTCCACATATTTACTACATTGTGCTCCCCTTACCATAAGACAGGACAGAGGATGCTTGTATTTCTACAGATGTTTGCAACAATATTTCAATTGCCTCAGAACAATCAAATACTATTGTAATTTTCCAACTTAATGACAAAGTCTGATCGACCATATTCCTCACTCTTTGGGGCTTACTTATTTATGACCAGGATTGGATTCTAGTTTGCTTGCTCCCTTTAGTTCAGGTGAGAGCTAGCAGAGTGCCCTCCTCTTTATTGTGCCCCTATCTCATTGCTCTGGGCTTAGCCCTGGTTGGGACCAAATTGGGAGAATGTCCCATCTACCATTTTGATCTGCTGTTTGGTTAGTTAGAAGCAAAGAGGAGGATTGTTGGTGTTTCCTTCATCTGGGAAAATAGGTGGCTTTAATGGATAACAGGGTTGGTCCTGGGAGGAAGAGAGAGAGGACCTATGCTTCTGTTCCTGGGATGGAGAAGTTGGAACTTATGCTCAAGAACGCAAAGAGGGAGGGGAGAAGCCACAGCTCATGTCAAGACCTGATGAGGATAACAACACTGTTGTTCTGGGTCCAAAAAACCAAAGAAGTTGCCCGCACCAGGATAGAAGATCCCAGGAATGGCCCAATATTCTGGCCAAACCCCAGAAGGAGCACCAAAGATGAGAGGGGAATCCCTGAATAGCTTAAAGGAATGAAATTGTGCTTACAAGTTACCTGTACTCTGAGCCAAGGACCCCCTGTGCTGAGGGAAGACCAGTTATTTCTATAAGCTGCAGCCTACTCAGAAAATGAGAGAACCAGGCCCTGCCCCTGGTAGCTGAGTGTCTGTTTTCACTCTGTCCAGATATGGCCATGGAGACAGTGCCTGTCTTTAGGTTTCCAGGGCTTGTTTGACAAACCCACTGCTAAAACACATTGAAATTCAAGTTATGTTAAAGGTAAGAGAGACTGGACTGGGTTGTTTTTGTTTTTTGGAGATAGGTCCTGCTGTGTTGCCCAAGGCTGTCTTCAAACTTGTGGGCTCCTAAGCAGTTGGGAGTACAGGTATGCACTAGCATGCATGGCCTATGGTGAAAGAATACTCTCTTGCTAGGGGTTGGTAACTTCTGTAACTTTTTATCAAAATGACATTTATGTGGAGCTTTCTAGTTGACACAGTGGTTCCATATACATTATCTCGTCTGATCCTGAAAGGCAGGGTTTTGTTACATGAGAAGAGAATCTGAGGATCAGAAAGGATAAGTGACTTGCTCAAGGTGGTAGGAGCTGCCCCACCCATTCAGAGAAAGGATTAGGGGAGAACTGAGTTCCATTACTAACCCCAGAGCGGAAAGCCCATGATGTAAAGCATATCTCAAAGAGAGAAACCCTTTTAGTAGGTACAATTCATCCTTAAAATAGTGTTGCTGAAATAATATATCCTTGCTCACTAGGGGTAGGCTGGTGTTCTAGGGTGCCTGTAAGTCAGGGATAATTGAGTCTCTGGGGCTGCCTGGAGTTCCAGACATCGTCTAAAACCCTAAGCAGTTCCTTCAGCCTCAGGAGGTTGAGTTGCCCCTTGGCTGCGCTGGGAAGAACATCACCTGGTTTTCCTTCAGTTTCTTCTGCAGCTGAAGGGCCAGAGCCTGCTCATCCTCAATCTTACTGTTCTGCTGGTTAATGTCAAACTCTTTCCTGGAGGAGAATGGGGATGGTGAATAGTGGTCCTCCTTCCTCTGGGCCCATTCTCTTTGCTTGCCTCAGCATGGCGAGCTGGCCCAGACAGTGAAACTCCCTCCCTCCTGGCCCAGACAGTGAAGGTAGAGGGTTGTGATCACCCTCATTTCCAGTGTGTCCAGGGTGCACATACCCGAAGAGGTGCAGCACCCTGAGCCCCAACTACCAGGCCTGACACCACCATTAACCCCTCCTGGCTACCATGCTGCATACTTCTTGAGCTTTTCTTCCAGCTGCAGTTTGTCATTCTCCAGGTCCATGATGCTCTCCTGGGTCAGCTTCAGGTCACCCTCCAGCTTCCGCTTCGCTCGCTCCAGGTCCATGCGCACCTTTTTTTCTTGCTCCAGGGATCCCTCCAGCTGGTGAGGAGAAGAAAATGAACAACATCCAGAAAACCTGAAATCCGTATGTGTTCATCTGCTTTTACTTAAAGGTGAAGTCCAATGGGATTGGAAGTCAAATCAGCAGAGAAATCTTGAGAGCCCACAGGATTCAGAGACCTAGCCCAATGAAGATAGCAAAAAAATCTCCAGGGGCCATAGAACTTAGGTCTAGGGATCAGGAACCCCCTTGACCATTGGTGTTGACTGCAAAATCTGGATCTGAGAGAGTCAGAACATGATTCTTTCTACTCACATCATCCACCTGCTGCTCCAGCTTCATCTTAGACTTGGTGAGGGTGTTGACCTTGTCCTCCTCAGCCTGAAGGTCATCCAGGGCCTGCTGGTGGGCCTCTTGCAGAGCTTTCTTCTCCTTGGTCAGTTTGGCAATGATCTCATCCAGCCCAGCCATCTCCTCTGTCAGGTTCTTCACCTGTCAATCCCAAATCCCAGCCCCTTTAAGGTCAAAGGTCACTGGTCTGGAGACATCTCGGGGGACCTCCATGTTAAGGACCAGGACCACATGCTGGCCTGGGAATCCTGAGGAGACCTGGGCTGGAGTCAGAGGGAGCTGCCCTCACCTTGTTCTCTGTTGCGTGTTTCTCCTTCTCCACCTTGGCCAGTGTCAGCTCCAAGTCATCAATGTCCTTCTTGAGCTCAGAGCACTCATCTTCTAGCTTGCGCTTCTTGGCAGTGAGCTCAGCATTCATCTCCTCCTCATCCTCCAGCCTCTCGGTCATCTCCTTCACCTTGGCCTCCAGCTGGATCTTGTTCTTGATCAGCTGGTCGCATCGCTCCTCTGCATCATTGAGGTTGTCTTGTTCCTGGGAGAAGAGGACAGGGAAGACACTGGTGATTAAGAGAGGAGATATGCAGGGTCTAAGGAGAGCTGAGCTCTTAGACTTGGGGTCCCTTGTGATAAAAAGGGTTATGATCCGGGTGAGAGAAAAGGAGAGATGAGCAGGTAATCACATGGACTTACTGCCTGCACTTGGAGCTGCAGGTCATTCTTTTCCTGTAGCAGGGACACCATCTTCTCCTCCAGCTCCTTGCGGCGAGCCTCAGATTTCTCCAGTGTCTCTTTGATGCGCCCGAACTCCTCCTTCATGTTGGCCATCTCCTTCTCTGTCTCTGCGCTCTTCAGCAGTGGCTTGATCTTGAAGTAGAGTTTCATCCATGGCCAATTCTTGACTCCCATGAAGGCCCGAATGTTCCACTGGATTACCAGCAGGGCATCCCTGACAAGGAAACGTGGAAGTAGGGAGGAACCCCATGAAGGAGCACTTCTCAATCATGGAGCCAACTGCACTTGGCCTTCCTCCCATTTAAGCAAGTTTGTAGGCATCAGAGGCAGGAGCCCTTCTTGTAGCCTTACTCCCTACGTGTACTCCCAACCCAACATCACTACACTGAGTATGGAGTTGCTCAATAAAAATCAGTGATTAAGTTTCCCTGGGTACCAAAGTGTCCCTAGTACCAAAACAAAAACAAAAACAAAAAACCAACAATGCACTTTAAGGTTCAACACATTGTACTATATAGTTGTAGTTCACTCTTTTTATTGCTTTGTAATATTCCACTGAATGGTTATAATACTATTTATCTATTCACCTTTGGATAAAAAACATGGAAATTCAGATTGTTTCTAGATTTCTGACCAATGTTCCTATGAAGATTCTTTTTTTTTTTTTTCATGGTGCACATGTGTAGCTTCTCTGTGGAAAAGTACTCAGGATGGGAATTAAAAAGTTTGTGACTGTTCATTTTTAAATGATAATGATAATTTACACATTTGTTAACAGTGGGTCAGCATTCATAATTTTGGTTGATCTGGTGTTTTAAAATGGTATTTCTTTGGAGTATTTTTATTTAAAAAAAATCCAAATGAGACCCAGAGTGGTAAGAAATAATTTTTTCAGGCCACCAAGTAAGTGGCAAAGCCAGGATGTGCAGCCCAATCTTCTGAACCATACCAGTTGGTACCTCTTGTCTGCCTCTTGCATCTCTGGGGTGCCTTCCCCCTTCCCTCCTGCCTTACCTGCGCTCCACGATCTTCTTGAACTCAATGCGCATGAGCTGGCCCCTGGACTGGGCCTGGATGCGTGTGATGATGCGGCTTAGCCTCTCATCTCGCATCTCTTCCAGCAGCCCCAGAAGCCCAGCTTTGAAGAACACCTGTGGACAGGGGTTAGAACCAAGGAGGCCTCAGCCTCAGATCTGAGACAACTGGGGTGGATAAGAGGTGGGAGGACCCTGGATGAGTTCCCAGAGGACCCATCACTCCACATCCTAAACCCAAGACTGCAAATGCAAAACACAAGAGAGAAGTGAAGCCTGGGTTTCAGCTCTTGGGCTAACAAGGAAGCCAGGAATTGAGGATCTGCCTCCTGCAGCTTTACCCATCATGGCCACCTGCCTTGCAACCACCTAGCAGGGCTCTAGACTCACCTTGGTGTGGCCAAACTTGTACTGGTTGTGGTCAATGTCCAGAGAGCTCAGCAGTTTCTCTGCCCCTTTCCTGCTGTCAATGAACTGTCCCTCAGGGATGGCCGCCGGGTTCAGGATGCGATACCTGGGGAAGGGAGTGCTGGGGTCACTTGCATTGAGCATGGATTATGCTCTGCCTACAGAATTCCAGGGATGTCTGCAGACTACTGCTCCTCTGCTCCCTGCACTCCGGGGCACGCCCGTACCCACCTCTGCCGGAAGTCCCCATAGAGGATGCGGTTGGGGAAGCCCTTCCTGCAGATGCGGATGCCCTCCAGAACACCGTTGCAGCGCAGCTGGTGCATGACCAGGGGGTTGTCCATCACCCCTGTGGCAAGAGGGGAGGAGAAGGGGTCATTCTCAGGGTAAGTGGATATCAGGCATCCTCCCCAGACTTAAGCCTTCCCTGGGGCTCACCTGGAGCCTTTCGTTCATTGGGGATGATGCAGCGCACAAAGTGAGGATGGGTGGACCTCAGGTTGGTCATCAGCTTATTCAGATTTTCCTGGGGTGGATGAAGATGGAGAGTTAGGAACCACAAGGGCCTTCTTTTAGGTCCCTGAGCCCTGGTCCCAGGCACCCTGTCACCAGAACTTATGGGAGCCACGGGACAGGGGGTTGACAACTAATTCATGATGTGAGTTCAGGCTTGTCTAGAATTTACATGCTAAAAATTGCCACATGACTTTGGCCTCTTTCCTCCTCAACCTCAGGGCAGCAGGATAGGGCAATGCAGCCCAAGGCCTAGGGCTTCCCCACCACAGGTCCTCAGGAATCCCTGGGCCCTTCTTACCCGGTGGAGAGCAGACACGGTCTGGAAGGATGAGCCCTTTTTCTTGCCTCCTTTGCCTTTACCACTATCCCCTAATAACGGGAAAAGGAACAACGAACAAGAGCTTAACAACAGAGGAACCCTGGGGCAGGGACAGGGCTCTGGCACTCAATAACTTTGTGACTTTGGTAAGGCTATTCTTCAGGTTTCCATGAGGATGGAGTAACTACCTCTAAAAGCTGGAAAGAGGATTGGATAAGACCAAGCCCATAAGGCAGCTCATTGGTAGACATTGAAATCCCATCAGGGGCCTAACCCTCCTCTTCTAACACTCCCCTCCATTCTTATGTCTTCCCACTTTCTAGTTTTCTTCTTATCCTTTTAATTTCAATCCACACCCTTTTTCTTTCTCTCTGAATTACAGGTCCATTTGTTCTACCATGTGTTCAGTGATCCTCTTCCTGTAGACTAAGAATTCTTGCTTGCATGGCTCTATGCTGGGCCTGGGACAATGTTGTATGTACTGCTCTTACTGACCTTGAGGAAGCAGACATGTGCACCAGTATGCAAAACACCAAGTGGACAAAGGCAGGTACTAAGGGGAGGTAGAGATGGACTCTGGTGGGACCTCCTGACTAACAGCCTCCCCTTGCCTACTTCTGGACCCTGCACCTCTAAAAGTCCCCTGGCTCAATGCAGGGGCTGCTTCCTTACCACTATCAACAGAAGCATAGGAAGAGAAGAGTGTGGCCATGAGTTTGAGGGAGGACTTCTGGTACAAGCCCACCACTGTCTCATTGAGTGGGTCCTTATTCTTCTCCAGCCAGCCCAAGATGTTGTAGTCCACGGTGCCAGCATAGTGGATCAGGGAGAAGTGGGCTTCCGGCTTCCCCTTGATATTGCGTGGCTTCTGGAAGTTGTTGGACTTGCCCAGGTGGTTGTCATAGAGCTTGGCCTTGAAGGTCATGTCAGTAGCCTTGGGGAACATGCATTCCTCTTCCAGGATGGACATGATGCCCATGGGCTGAGGTCAGGGTGGGAAGGTGGAGAGAGAGAATCACTTAGCATATTCCCAGGCTTCCAGAGTCCCACATCCTGAGCGAGAAGACTCCACAGCCCAGTGTTGCTGGTGGGCCAAAGGGAACCTGTGCTTCTACCTCTTGTCCCAGGATAAGAAGCCAATATTCCTGGAAATGACCTAAATCCAATTACACTCAGATCTAGCCTGTATGACCTTTTCTGCCTCAGGGGACCCAGCAAAGAGCTATGTACTCCTAATCATCCCTCAAGACCTCAATACTTCACAACACTGACCATTTTTTCCTGATGTCTCTGCACCAGGGACACTAGGCCAGGAACAGAAGTGTCAGAGGAATCAGACTGCAGGGGCAGGTCAGACGTCTATCTACTGGACACAGGTAGCAATGCTTCAAGGGTTGATTAGAAGGACCTAGGCTCTGTACAACACTCCATCTTTCAGGGAATGTAGTTCTTTGCTTTTCTTGGTATAGGAATGCTTTTGAAAATTTGTTTAAGCCAAAGAATATCTCTCTAGAAAAACATACATATGCACCCACACACACACACACACATACATGTATATATGTATGTACTCATGCTTTTTTCCCATAGTTTTAGGATAATGACTCAAAGACTATGGGAAGCTCACATTTTGTGAAGGTAGAGACTGGCTAGGTGCAGGTGGGATACTCAGGCTCTCTCTGTGACCATACCACCCTCAATGTTCCAGATCTCCTCTTGTCTCAGAATCTAAGCAGGGTCGGACCTAGTTACTACTTGGATGGGAGATACTCAGGCTCTGGCCTGTGTTAGCAAAGAACAAAGGCACACTGAGGGCAGTCAGCACTGGCATGAGGTGGCTCCCACCTTCTCCCCCGTCTCTCCTGAGGACCATCCACAGAGAAGAGGGGCTGCAGACTGGCTTATTTCTCAGTGAACAGGAAGAGGATAGGAAGCCAAATGTCTCTAGTTTTAGTCTAGGATTTTTCCATGAAAGATGCTTCTTATGGGGTTGAGAGAGGCCAGGAGACTCTCCTTCTCTACACTTCACTTTTACTACAGAAATGCCACCACCATACAGAGAGAACAGGATTAGAAATCTTGGGGAAAGACCAAAGGGGATCATCCTGTGTATGCCCATGACTTCACAGTGGGTGAAAGCTGGGTCTGGAGGAGGACCCAGGATTCTGGGGAACTCTAGTTTCTTGAATGCAGAAGGGAGCGGGGCTGTCACTTTTTCTGATATGGCAGAGGAGGGAGTTACAGAAGATGGAGCCAGGCACCTTTTCGATGAGGTCGATGCAGGCCTGCAGGTCCATGCCAAAGTCGATGAACTCCCACTCGATGCCCTCCTTCTTGTACTCCTCCTGCTCCAGCACGAACATGTGGTGGTTGAAGAACTGCTGCAGCTTCTCGTTGGTGAAGTTGATGCAGAGCTGCTCAAAGCTGTTGAACTGCAGGCAGGGAGGGACAGGAGCAGGTCAGGCAGGCAGGTGTCTGGGTGGCCACGGGGGTCAGCCCAG